CGGGACCCCCCGGAGCCCCCCGGGACCCCCCGGGGCCGCCGGAGGTCACCGTGTCCAGCCCCCCGCAGTTCCCCAGCGAGCGGCCGGAGTCCCCCTGTCCTGTACCCCCTCAATAAATGTCTCTTGGGTTTTTTTTTTAAATTATTTTTTATTATTATTGTTAATTTTAGGGGCGGGCCAGCTGCTCTCCTCCTGATTGGTCGCCTCAGCTGTCAGTCACAGCCTGGCTCCGCCCCATCGCCCCGCCTCTATTGTCACCCTGGGTGTCCCTTGGTGTCCCCAGACGTCCCCCAGGTGTCCCCAGGGTGTCCCCTGGGTGTCCCTGGTGTCCCCAGATGTCTCCCTGGGTGTCCCCCAGGTCTCCCTGGGTGTTCCCAGTGTCCCCAGGTGTCCCCAGCTGTCCCCAGCTGTCCCCAGCTGTCCCCAGCTGTCCCCAGGTGTCCCTGCTGTCCCCGCTGTCCCTGTCACTAATTGCCACCTTCCCTTTTGTAGGAGGCGCCGGCCCCGGGACAGGAGCCCGCGGAGGTGAGCGCGGGGACAGGGGGGACCCTTGGGGACACGGGGACAGCCCCGGCTGGGTCACCCCCCCCGGCCCCGCGGGACCCCCGGTGCCCTCAATAAAAGGGTATTTTTGTACCTGTGTCCCGTGTGCGGGGACAGCGCGGGAGGGGACAGCGCGGGGACACTGCCCAGGGGACAGGGACACTGCAGGGACACCGCCCAGGGGACAGGGACACCGCCCAGGGGACGGGGACACTGCAGGGACACCGCTGAGGGGACAGGGACACCGCTGAGGGGACAGGGACACTGCAGGGACACTGCCCAGGGGACAGGGACACGGCAGGGACACTGTCCAGGGGATAGGGACACCGCTGAGGGGATAGGGACACCATGGAGGGGACAGGGACACCATGGAGGGGACAGGGACACTGCAGGGACACTGCGGGGACAAAGACACCATGGGGACAGAGACACCGAGGAGACAGGGACACTGGGGACACTGCTGAGGGGACAGGGACACCATGGGGACACCGTGGAGGGGACAGGGGCAGGGTTGGGACAAAGCAGCCGTGGAGGGGACAGAGATGGGGACAGGAGGTGACAGCGGGAATGTGGCACCGGGGTGTGGGAACACCGGGAGGTGTCACCTGCGGTGTGTGTCACCTGCGGTGTGTGTGTCACCTGCAGTGTGTGTGTCACCTGCAGGGTGTGTCACCTGCGGGGTGTGTGTGTGTCACCTGCAGTGTGTGTGTCACCTGCAGGGTGTGTGTGTCACCTGCAGGGTGTGTCACCTGCGGGGTGTGTGTCACCTGCAGTGTGTGTCACCTGCAGTGTGTGTCACCTGCAGGGTGTGTCACCTGCGGGGTGTGTGTGTCACCATCCCTGGCTGAGGGTGGCACCTCCCGGCCCCGGGGACAGCAGCAGCAGCAGGAGGTGGCAGCAGTGTCACCGCGGGGCACGGAGGGTGACGGCCACAGCAGTGGCTTTATGGGGTGGCACTGGCAGGGCTGTCCGTGCACTGACAGGGCTGTCCCAGGGGTGGCAGTGGCAGGGCTGTCCCTGCACTGACAGGGCTGTCCCCAGAGGTGGCACTGACAGGGCTGTCCCTTGAGGGTGGCAGTGACAGGGCTGTCCCCAGAGGTGGCAGTGACAGGGCTGTCCCTGCAGTGACAGGGCTGTCCCCTGAGGGTGGCACTGGCAGGGCTGTCCCCAGAGGTGGCAGTGACAGGGCTGTCCCCTGAGGGTGGCACTGACAGGGCTGTCCCTTGAGGGTGGCAGTGACAGGGCTGTCCCCTGAGGTGGCAGTGACAGGGCTGTCCCTGCAGTGACAGGGCTGTCCCCAGTGTCACCCGGGGCTGTGTCACGCGGCTCAGCCCGGGCCCCCCCGAAGCTCTCGGGGGACACGGCGCTGCCACCCCCGAGTGTCCCCAACAGCTGGGGGGTGACACTGCCGGTGTCCCTGTCCCTGATGTCCCCAATGTCCCCTCCGTGCCCCCGGTGTCCCCAGTCCATGTCCCAAGTGTCCCCACGTGTCCCCAGTTGTCCCCAGTGTCCCCAATTGTCCCCAAGTGCCCCCAGTGTCCCCTCTGTGCCCCCAGTGTCCCCACGTGTCCCCAAGTGTCCCCACGTGTCCCCAAGTGTCCCCAGTGTCCCCAATTGTCCCCACGTGTCCCCAGTGTCCCCCCATGGCCCCGAGTGACCAAAGGTCAGGCGAGGCCCCGCCCACGGAGGGCGTGACCATGTGAGAGGCGTGGCCAACAGCGGAAAGCCGATCGCTTCCGGTCACGTGCTCACCAAAGCACGTGAGACAGCCAATCATAGCCCGGGCCCGCCAATGGGGTGACGTCAGCGCTTCCCCGGTCACTATGGCAACTGCACCGCCCTTCCGCTTCCGGGCGCGCCATGCAGCGGTGATTGACAGCTGGCTTCTCCAATCACCGTCCGTCTGCGGAAGCGCGGGAAATATTGCCCCGCCCAGCGCATGGGAATGAGCAGCAATTGGTGGGATTGAAGCAGAGCTGGGCCAATCAGCCCGGCAGGGTGGGGCCAAAGGCAGAGATTGGCAGGCGAGCGGCCAATCAGCGGCCGGAGCTCTTCCGGCTCCACGTCGGCAGCGGAGGAGGCAAAATGGAGGCGCTGGTGCTGGTGAGGGCCGGGGGGACTGGGGGGGACTGGGATCAAACTGGGGGGGACTGGGATTGAACTGGGGGGGACTGGGATCAAACTGGGATCAAACTGGGATCAAACTGGGGGGGACTGGGTCATACTGGGAATTACTGGGAGTGGATTTGGGGTTACTGGGATGAACTGGGAGGTGACTGGGAGGGGACTTGGGGTTACTGGGAGGAAACTGGGCCATACTGGTTTATACTGGGAGGGAACTGGGAGGGAACTGGGAGGGGATTTGGGGTCACTGGTTTGTACTGGGATGGGGTTTGGGGTTACTGGGAGGAGGGGACAAGGGGACACGGGGGGGACAGTGGGGGGACACGGGGGGGATGGGGACAAGGGGACACGGGGGGACACGGGGACAGTGGCCCCAGCAGTGCCGTGACCCCGGCACGGCCTGGCCCGGCGTCCCCGGCGCTGGGGACACGGCTGGCACTGTCCCTGTCCCGCGGTGGCACTGTCCTTGTCCCGCGGGTGGCACTGTCCCTGTCCCGCGGTGGCACTGTCCTTGTCCCTGTCTCAGGGGTGGCACTGTCCCTGTCCCTGTCCCTGTCCCTGTGGTGGCACTGTCCCCGTGGTGTCCCTGTCCCCCTGGTGGCACTGTTCCCCTGGTGGCAGTGTCCCAGTCCCTGTCTCAGGGGTGGCACTGTCCCTGTCCCTGTCCCCCTGGTGGCACTGTCCCTGTCCCCCTGGTGGCACTGTCCCCATCCCCCTGGTGGCAGTGTCCCTGTCCCTGTCCCCGCAGGAGCCGTCCCTGTACACGGTCAAGGCCATCATCATCCTGGACAACGACGGCGAGCGGCTCTTCGCCAAGGTGGGGACACTGGGGACACTGAGGGGACACTGAGGGGACACTGAGGGGACACTGGGGACACTGGACAGCTGGGGACGCTGGGGACACTCGGGACAGGGAGGACACTGAGGGGACAGGGGGGACAGTGAGGGGACACTGCCCCGAGGGGATGTGGCTCTGGGGAGGGGACAGGGCGGGTGGCCCGGGTGCCAGGGGTGGCCGGTGTCCCTGTCCCGTGTCCCTAATGCTGTCCCCGAGTCCCCAACGCTGTCCCCATGTCCCCAATGCTGTCCCCGTGTCCCCAACGCTGTCCCCGTGTCCCCAATGTCCCCAACGCTGTCCCCGTGTCCCCAACGCTGTCCCCGTGTCCCCAGTACTACGATGACACGTACCCCAGCGTGAAGGAGCAGCGCGCCTTCGAGAAGAACATCTTCAGCAAGACACACCGCAGTGACAGTGAGTGACACTGGGGACAACAGGTGACACTGAGGGGACACGGGGTGACACGGGGGTGTGACAGGGTCACAGGGCTCACAGACACACCGCAGTGACAGTGAGTGACACTGGGGACAACGGGTGACAACGGGTGACACAGGGTGACAATGAGTGACGCGGGGACACAGACACGGACACTGAGGGGACAGTGACACTGGGGACAACGGGTGACAACGGGTGACACAGGGTGACAATGAGTGACGCGGGGACACAGACACACCACAGTGACAGTGAGTGACACTGGGTGACAACGGGTGACACTGAGGCGACATGGGTCAGGGACACACTGCAGTGACAGTGAGTGACAGTGGGTGACAACGGGTGACACTGGGTGACAATGAGTGACACGGGGACACAGACACACCGCAGTGACAGTGAGTGACACTGAGGGGACACTGAGGGGACATGGGGGTGACACACAGGTGACAGTGACAGTGTCGCTGTCCCCAGGCGAGATCGCGCTGCTGGACGGGCTGACCGTGGTGTACGGGGGACACAGTGACACACAGTGACACACAGGTGACAATGACAATGACAATGACACTGTCCCCAGGCGAGATCGCACTGCTGGACGGGCTGACCGTGGGGTACGGGGGACACAGTGACACACAGTGACACAGTGACACAGTGACAGTGACACACAGTGACACACAGGTGACAATGACAATGACAATGACACTGTCCCCAGGCGAGATCGCACTGCTGGACGGGCTGACCGTGGGGTACGGGGGACACAGTGACACACAGTGACACAGTGACACAGTGACAGTGACACACAGTGACACACAGGTGACAATGACAATGACAATGACACTGTCCCCAGGCGAGATCGCACTGCTGGACGGGCTGACCGTGGTGTACGGGGGACACAGTGACACACAGTGACACAGTGACACAGTGACAGTGACACACAGTGACACACAGGTGACAATGACAATGACAATGACACTGTCCCCAGGCGAGATCGCACTGCTGGACGGGCTGACCGTGGTGTACGGGGGACACAGTGACACACAGTGACACACAGTGACACACTGAGACACAGTGACACACAGTGACACAGTGACACACAGTGACACACAGTGACACACAGTGACACAGTGACACACAGTGACACACACACAGTGACACACAGTGACACACAGTGACACAGTGACACACACACAGTGACACAGTGACACAGTGACACACAGTGACACACAGTGACACACAGTGACACA